CTGGGGACCATGAGCTCCCCCTTGTTCAGGTCAGCTGTTTCTGTGTGTTTCACCAGCCTGGTCTTGACTACTTTGCTCATCACTCCTCCTCTGCAACTAGATTCCAGTTCAGTTCAGTGTTTAGCTGTCGGTATCTGCTTCTACTTCCATGAGCTCCTGGATGAAGGCTCTAGGAAAGCATATAAGTTAGTCAAAAATCTCATTATTTGGGGGCATTTAAGGTAGCCTCTCCTCTGTTGCTTAGATTGTTAGTTGGTGTTATCCTTGTAGATCTCCAGACATTTCCCTGGTGCCTGATTTCTCTTTAAACCTATAATGGCTCCCTCTATTATGGTATCTTTCATCTTGCTCTCCTCTATTCTTCCCCCAACTCAAGCTTCCTGCTCCCTCATGTCCTCCTCACCCCTCCTCTTCTCCCCTTCTCATTCTCCTAGCTCCCTCTCACCTCCACACATGCTCCTAATTTGCTCAGGAGATCTTGTCCCTTTCCCCTTCTCTGGGGGATCAGGTATGTCTCTCTTAGAGTCCTCCTTGTTTCCTAGCTTCTCTGGTGGTGTGGATTGTAGGCTGGTAATCTTTTGGTCTAAAATCCATATATGAGTGAGTACATACCATGTTTTTCTTTTTGTGACTGGGTTACCTCGCTCAGAATGGTTTCTTCTATATCTAGGGTCTTTTAACAAAGGAGCCAAAACACACAATGAGAAGAGAACTTTATGTCTTTTTTTGGTAGAGTAGAAGAGACTTCTGTTTGCAGAAGAATAAACCCTTGATCTCACTTTCTAAAGGAATCCACTTAAAATAGATCACAAACTTCCACATGACAGTAATACTGTAAGTCTACAAACAACATGGAGTAACACTCTGTGATGTTGCTTTGGGCAGTGACTTATTGAATATGATCCCGAAGCACAGGTAACAAAAACAAAACAGCTCCCTGCCAGTACATCAAACTAGAAAGTTCCTGCATGGTAGAAACAACAGCAAAAAGATAATCCATGCAACAACATATATGAAAGTCATATGACAAAACAGGGGTTATATCCTAAATATGCACAACTCACACTATAATTCAAAACATAGTTATTGAATCTTGGCAAACATCTGAATGAAAAGTCCTAAAAATGGCATATAAAAGGGCAAGAAGTATGTGAAAATGTGTTAGTTACTTATCATCAGTTGAATGTAAGAGAAAGCTACAGTATCACCTTACAGCTAATAAATGGCTATTATCAAAGTAATAGAGTATGTGGTGGTCCACATTCACTTCAATATGATTTCAAAAGTAATTCTCATGAGTAGCTTCTATACATGCTGTCATGCTTTCTATAGAATGATAATATGGATGCACTGGTTAATGCTGGATCCAAACTAATCCTTGGCAATGAAAAAGACATGGACATAAAGTCTAATGAAAATCACAATAGATGATGTTTTCATCTGTGTTAAAGCCTGTCAGTAGATTATGTATTTATCATTGGTTATATTTCCCGCAATGCTTGTCAGTCTTGTGAAAAAATATACAGGTAAAACACATAAATTGAATGATTTTCTGATGCCAGTGAAAACAGTTCTGAAATTGAATTAAAGAACATCATCCATTAGATAGAGTAAAGCAGTCAGAACTGGTAAATTATGCCTACTTAAGTGTTCCTATTTTCTATAAATATAGACTAATTCAGAAAGGGAATGTTTCCAAGCCTGCTGACTGCCTTGGCTCGCCTTGTCTGCCCACTAACCTTGTTTCCACACCTCCACAAGGTGATCAGGTCTTTAACAAACTATGATTATGGGGATCTTTGAAAATCAGCCAAAATATCTGGGAGAAAATGTCTGGGTGTGTCGTATATTTAATCTTGGTCACTATGTAATCTAAATCATGATAACTTTTACATTATATTACCTGTATTCACTCTGGACTTCCTCTGTACCATGCGAGAAAATGTCTGGGTGGTTGTGGTTGTTCTTGGTCAATATGTAATCTATGTTGCCTGCTTTTTTTTCACTCTGGACTTCCTCCAGATCTCCAGTCATGAGTGGTAGAAACATGGATGAGGAGTCCTGCCAGGTGAGTGGTTTATTGTTCTCAAATGCCTGCCATTTAATCAATCTTCTATTTCAAAGAGAATGTTCCAAAATCCTGCAGGCACTCAGGAACCAGAGCTTAACAACGCAGAGATAGTTTTCCTAAGAGAGACGAGGACCTTTTAGACTGAACAGGTAAATTGGAAGCTGCTCTCCCCATGATGAGGGTGGGGGGTTCCAGAGAAATTATTGTTGCTGTTTCCACAATTCTCAGCCATTTGGGGTGTAATATAAGTCTCCCTAGCAGGTGTTAGATTATTAGGGAAATTGAGCAGATGGCTTTGGCAAGCCTCACCTCCCTTTTCCTCTGCTGCCAGGAATTTCAGCCTTCTAGCTCAGCTTCACATATGCTTGTTTAAAAAGCTCCTGCCATTCAAGGAAATGGAATCAGTGGCATCATTTGATCATGTCTGGAACTGTGAAGAAGCTGCCTTATCCTCAGCTTCTCAGAACATTAAGCAATACCCCTTCTTTGTTTTTAAAGTCACTC